TCTTTAATTTCTTTTACAGTTATTTCGTTGTTATGTCGAATATATTGACCAATAGCTTTTTTTCTATCGAACATAAGACAACTGGCCGACCATTTCCTCCTCAGTGTTTAAGTGAATTTATTTGTTTCAGTTTATTTATGTTGCAATAGATAGTCCTTAGTGGTATCTTCGTTTCACGGTAGAGAGCACGAGCAGATCGTATGCCGTTGTTCCAATAATGTAATAATGATATATGATGCTTTTTCAAATCAGTGGATGATGTCATGATTAAATGTTTATGTGTTAAAAAGAAAAGAATTCACGCTTTTATATAGTCAACGTGTAGTGTTACTAACGGACATATATCCCTGGAAAAGTTAAACTTTTAACTACTTTCTAACGATACAAAAACTGTTATACAAAAAATTCAATTTTGTGTAAGTTTTTTTGAATAGTCCTGTCTGCTTCCTTACCATTTATTGAAGTCGATTAAATTTAACACCACAACAAATGACAATGTTTATTAATGGTCTCAAATATATCACAACATGTCAAAGTCGATTTAGTCGTAAATCTATCGATGACATTGTTACTGAACAATATAAAAATATATCCACAATTGTAAAGAATTGCTTAGCAGACAATAGAATTTCAATTACAGATCAATGAGCAAACCAGGCATTTCAAGCATTAGAACTAATCTTTCATAAATACCAATTTAAAAATGTATTAAAAAAATTAAAAATTCGTGCTCAACGTGAATATAAAATCGTTCAATATGTTCAACGTCTAATACGTCAACGATCAGATATTGTTATACGTCGAACGGATAAGAGGAAAGTATTTTATATTGGCAAAGCAGCTGATTTTGAACGGAAAGCAGAAGAATATGTGTTAAAAACTGAAGCTTATGAAGAAATTAAAAATGGTCGTTGTCCTTTGGCCGATAATTTACATGCTGTACAAACTCTCTTCGATTATCTTGTAACGAAAAAGGCTTTAAAAAAAACAATCTAATCGATTAATTCTAAAACTAAATAATTTAGAATTAGGTTATTATCATGGTATACCTAAACCACATAAAGTAAATTTATATCAAACCATAAATTAATCTGTATTCTTTTTTTTCTTATAGCCTGAAACACCATTACAACCTATAGTAGCCAGTATACATGCACCTGCAACGTTGGTATCAAAATTTTTGAATGATATTTTAGCACCTATCTATTTGAAAGTTACTCGTAAATATACATTTATTAATGATATAGACAAGGGGGAAACGGCGGATTCCTGAGATTCCGAATCCCTGTGAGTA